ATAGATTAATTTGTCTTCCCATACTTCCTCTTTTTGTCCATGACTGAGTCATATCACCTATGAGTTGGAAAAGTTGGAAAAGGTCACCAAATTAAACCTCTACCCAAAGTTCAAAATTCCATCCAATATCCATAGTAAACGGATATCATCTACCTCTGCATAAAAACCTCCACAGATGTGAAATTTTTAGCTTCATAAAGTACTCCTTTTTCAGTTAGAATTTTTCTCTCTTTCTGGGTTCATTAACCTCGTTGCCTCCACTTCCTACCTCCATCCAAGACAAATCAAAACAACAAACACGCCCCCACCTCTGCAGATACCCCTGCCTCCTTGCAAGGAGACACCATTAATTTTCTACTCTGCAATGTTCTTTGGATTGATTACTTGCTTCCATTCCTAAATATCCAACCCTACTGATACCCCTTTATCATTTCTCATTTACATGCTTAGTATTTTAGCAGACAGTAAGGTTTCCCTGCTTTGATATTTTTCCTGCCAGGATAATTTTCTTAAAACTAAAAATTTTCCTTATATGCTGAAGAGACTAAAAGGTCTTTCCATTTTACAATTTAAAGGCAAACTTCTCTAACTTTCACAAGGACCTTTATACTTGGCCCTTGCCCACTGATCTCTATTGCAAAGAAGCTCTACCCTGCAACGCCTTTCCTGCACTGTGTGCTCACTCCTCCTCTGCCTTCCTAAGTAGGTAATATGCTTCTAGAGAAGAGTTTTATACTCCCACTGAATTCTTAACAGCAATTAGCACAATAATGAGCAAAAAGGGCTCAGGGAATATTTGTTCACTGGTTTTTAATTGTCTCCATTGTATTTGTATTTTTGAATAATAAAAAGTACTGTTTAATACCATACCATTGTTCATATTATTTCCTCTGCCCAGAAATGGCCTCCTCTGTCCTTTTTGTATGTGCAAAAAAATCCCACTTATCCTTCAAATCTCAGCTGAAATACTCCCCTTGAGGAAGTCTTTTCCAATTATCCCAGCCGAAATGAGTAACATCCACCTGTTTTCCTGCAGTACTTGACTTATAAATCTAACATATACGTGTTATCAGTTTGTTTTAGAACATCTACATCATAAGTTCTAATTTTTAAAAAGCAGGTGGAAAACTCACTTCATCTGGCTCTCATCTGTATGGGTCCCACCCTCCCCACTCACATTTCGCACCATGCCTAAGACAGTGCCTTGCGTAAACGGAACAGTGATCAATTAATACTTGTGGAAGCAAATGGACTTTCTTCATGAAAATTTTCCCTAAATGAAAATAACAAATACAACCAAATCGACAAGTAAAGTATCTTAGTAACTGTTTTTGTGCAGTGAAGTTGCTTCATTTAAGGGCCTACTGTAATTATTTCAAAGGTTATTAACATTCTTTGATTAGGCATTCTAACCTTAAGGTAAGAGGATGGATTACACGATTTTTCAAGATCTTCACTGTGATCGTTAATCTAGTATTTAGAAATATTTTGGGGCTGGCAGGTGGTTGAGGTGCTGGACTCCCACATGGCCAACCAGGGTTCAAGTCCTAAACCCAGTGGCTTTCTTACTCACTCTCCCTTTCTCTCTGTCTGTCTCTGGTCAAAACTGAAGAATAATGGGAACCAGCAGTTGGCGTAATGGCTATGTCACTGGACTCCCACATAGTCGACTGCGGTTCGCATCCCGGACCCGGTGGCTTAAAACTCACGCCGGGCGCGTGTGAGTGCATGCCCAAGATCCCGAGAGGAGAATGGAAGAGAAGGGATTGCGGTTTGACCATCCCCCCTGGGGGGGTGATTTCTCGCTTTCTGTCTCTATGTCTCTCTGTCTGTCTGGCGAACGCACGCGCCCTATAGTGAAAATCTCTCTAAAAAATAAAAAAATTGAAGAATAATGATAATAAATAAAACTGAAAATAAATAAATCTTTTTTTAAAAAAGGGAAATATTTATATTCAAGTTTTCCTCATCCTGAAAGCAATAGGAATAATATCATAAGTATAAATATACCCCTATGGACTTGGTAGATGACAAAACATATATACATTTTCAAGTCATATAAGTTCAATAAACATCCCAAAGTAAATTAAGACTTCAATGTGTGGATTAGAGTGTTAATATTTTAGTTGTTTTATTAAGATTTTTTTTAACAATAAACCAAAAGATCTAATAAATGTCTGATAACTTCCAACCCGGTACTATTGGCTTTTGCATAGAAAAATAAGTCATGGAAGAGAAGGGATTGCAGCATGGCCATCCCCCTGGGGGAGTGATTTCTCACTGTCTGTCTCTCTGTCTCTCTCTGTTTGTCTGGTGAGCATACACGCCCTATAACAAAAACCTCTTCAAAAAAAAAAAAAAAAGTCATGACTTTTCTGACACTCTAATACATTAAAATGTGAGAATTTGATACACAATTTTGCTATTGTATGAACACTTCCAAAGGTAAGAGGTAGCCTAATATTTACTAATCTAGGATTCCAGTCAGGACTCTTAAAAATCTACAGACTAGCTAGACTTCCATTATTTACTAGTTGTGTGACTTCAAACAAATTATTTAACTTGAGTCCCTGTTTCCTTATAAAAATAATCAAACCTGTTTCAGTTATTGTATGGATTTTCTTAAAGATCAGATATACTATATAAGAAAGTTATAAAATACTACTGCATTTTCACGCCATTCTTTATGTAATGAGTAATACTCTCCTGTAATATTATGGACAATTTGAAATTAGAAATATCCTTTCCCTGAAAACCTGGCAGATTTTTTTTCCTGTGAATTGTCTCAGCCTGATGTTTTCTTATGAGAGAAAAATGTTAATTATTCCTTTATTTTGTTTAATGATTATAAGTTACTCTGATTTTCTTTCAGATAATTTTGGCATGTTAAGTTTTCCTACAAATTTCTAGATTTTCTTTCAATTTTAAAATTGTTAACAAAGTATTTCCTAATATTATAATGTTTTTAATATCTGTTGTATTTATTTTTAAATTATGAAATTATAGGTATTTAATTGTTTTGCTGTTATGTGAATTAATACAGAATTAAATAAAAATTAAAATAATTGCAATATAAAATTTAAAATAATGTTTGTTGTAATAATATTACAAAATAAAATAGTATTTTATGTATTATATAACTTTAAAGAAATATTTCTAGAATGTCAGTTTACCTGTGGTTTTAGAATGAGGTGTGTCCATGTATTTTTCATTCTTTTCCATAACCTAGCCTTCTTGGAAGAGATTATTCAAAACAAAAACAACTGTCTTCACTGCAAGTCTTCCTTTCTGAATTGAATGATCCCGATGGTGTACGGGTACACTGATTCTGCAGTGCTACCTCTGCCTCCCCTAACCCACACACACGCTTCAAATGTAAGTATTTCAGTAAGCCTGTGATTTGAGGGGTGATGGAGGGAAGACCCATTAGGACCAAATAAGACTATTCCACTGTCAGAGACTTAGAAAGGTAAATCTAAAATATGAAGCAAAATACAAGAACCTTAGAAAAAACAGTAGAAGCTTCTATAAAAAGATTTGATTAGACCTTAAGGATATTTAAGTGCTGCTATAATTACCATCAAAAACATATATAGGTTTCAGCTAATATCAAATGAGACTTGAGAAAATGGTGAATCTGTATCTTGCTTTTACATTTTACATTTTCAAAGATATAAATACAAGAATGTAAGCCCACATATTAAAATCCTACTGGAAATCTGAGCCAAAAGACAAGTCTTAAACTAAAATAAGTATTTATTAAAATCATTAGGATGAATTCCTTTTTTGTAACATATATATATATATATATATACACACACACGCATATATATATATATATATATATATATACACACACACACACACACACACACACACACACACACATATATATATATATTTTTTTTTTTTTCTTGTAGTGTTACCAACATACACAGGTAGGAAAGAGGTTAGAGCAAAAATTGATGGAGAAATGCATTAGTTTGCTCATTGATGACCTTCTAGTTTCACATACACTATGCCTACTCTAGCTATTTAACCTAGTTACTTTGCTCAATATTGATTGGCAAGGGCAAGAAAAATAATTTAAATACAAAATTATTAGCCAAGACTCAAAAGATCAACTACTGAAATGCAAATACACAGAAATATAACAAATTGTTGAGATTATAAAACTTTTGAAGTATCAATTATATATGTGACCAAAACAGTGTCTGAATACCAGATAACTAAAAAAACTAGGTTTTATTATATTTAATCACATGTATTCTTCAATCACATACCTCAGGAGGCTTGAATTCTTCAATTCCACCTTCCATTTTCTGTTTAAGTGCACTGTTTACTTGCTTAGCATTCTGAACCTTCAACAAAATAATCCAAAATGTGAATCAAATTCTATTGTTAGATAAATTTTTAAGTACTCAATAAATAAAAAAGATATATAGCAAAACCTTTGTAAATTTTATTTCAGGAGAATAGATATCACTTAGGGTATAAATACCATCCACTCAACTAATATGCACACCAACAAATGCACATATTTAATAGACTAAAAGACATTGAATCAGACTTTGAATATTATAAATCATAATATCATTGAACAATGACTCTTATAACCAAAGACAACTCACAGACATAGGGATTACATCCCATCAATGTTTCTTATTACCATAATGTTTTGACCAAATAACAATTATTCCAACAAAAATAATGATGATAGTAGCTAATATTTATCAGGTCTTAATAAATATAAACCATCATTTGTGGTGCTGCTTATATAAGTCACAATTCTCACATTCACCCTGTGAAATAACTACAATCAGTTTTGCTACACTACAGCATATGCATCTTAAGAAATTCCTTTTATTTTAAAAATTTTAATTCATTTCTTTCACAAAAGAGAGGGGAGATGGGAGGAAGGCAGGCACCTGCCCCCACCACCAGTCTCACCATGCCATGATCCTTCCCCCAGCTAGCTATTCATAGGCTCACAGGAGTAATGCCCAGAAAGTTCAGGCTGGCCCAGAATCCACACGTGGGCCTTCCCTGTAGTCCTGGCACTGTGGAGTGTCACCCCACTGTCTATGCCACCATGGCGAGGCCAATATATACATTCTTAAATCACCAAAATATGTAAAACCCACAATAAAAACCCCAGGGCATTTGAGGAAAAGGAGGGTGGGATATAACATTCAAAAACTTCATCAATCACACATAAGATAGGAACTGAACAAAAATGGGAACAGGTTTTACACATTCTAAATGGTTAAGAAATCTGTATGTCCTACAGTGAAGATATTTTACCTTGAAAAAAACCTGAAAGTAGCTTGTGGAAGTGGATGTTCAAATAGTTTCAGCTTATGACTTATTGTGAAATGGCAGAAGGAAGGTTATTTGAAACCAAATGAAAAGTTTTAACACCAGATGTATGTGTGTTCACAGCAAAGTGAGGCAGCTGGCGTTGGTTTGAGATGTGTGCTCAGTTCAGCTGGGTGTAATTTCTCACTGACAAACATCATGTATATGCACACAAAATCCATAATATGCTCAAATTGTTCCCTAATATATCAATTGCAATGGAACAAATCCGTTTTCTAAATAAGAATTATAGCAAAACTGATCCTACTTTTGTTTTGACGATTTTACTAATAAAGAATGTAAAGATGTTAAGAACTTTTCCAAAGCCACAAATGTAGGAGGTACATCCTGAATTTAAACTATTCTGAGTTTTAAACTATTATGCTACTAACAGTATGGCTAGCCTCCATGTAAACATTCTATGTCATAACTGTTTGTTTACTTTTTCCCCAGGTTTGCCCCCACCCAGCCCCTAGTACGGAGAACCAAATATGTGTAACTAGTTGGTTCAGAGTTGTGGTTTTGATTTTTTTTTTTTTTTTTTTAACTAGGGGGCTAAAAAACAAAGCTAAAATGACAGTCGGACAGGATTCCCTGTTCTCTATTAGGTTTTTTTTTTTTTTTTTTTAACTACAGGGCTCAAAAACACAGCTAAAATGTATAGGTTCAAGGGTGGTCAGCTGGCCACGACAGTTAAGTCATACAGAAAAAACTGTGACATCTCAGTTTGCAAGGATTTTAAAGACTAGCGGGGAGATAAATAAATATAAAAGTATGATAAATGCTGAATATCTCACACCTGAAGAAAGAAAGAGAACTATAAGAATAAAGGCATCTATATGTGTTGGTGGACAGGTGGTATGGAACACTGGGGCAAGTATTCCAGAGGAGATGACACCTACACTGAGTTTTAACGCATTAACAAGAATCAAGCAGGTAGACAAAGATGGGGAGAAGTATTTAGGAAAACAGGAAAGTCCTAAGGCATAGGGGGCAAGAAATCAGACCCAAAATATCTAAATTTTCCTTAAAGATTGAAGGCAACCTAAACGATTTTAAGCAAGCCTTTTATAAAGATATTTCCTTCCAGTAGTAATGTGGAGAATAGAATGAGGTGAAGAGGGTTGAAATCAACTTAACAATCCAGGTGAGAAATATTAAATAATTAGGAAAACTTGCAATAAAACAAGAGATGAAGGAATGGTGATGTTGGTACACCAGGATGGGTTAAAGTAACTTGGAAACAAAACGAAGACTTCTCTGTAAATGACGTGGAGAATGAGGAGAACCAAGGATAACTGGTCTGAGTCTATTTGGTTCTACTCATGGACACAGGGAATGCAAACACAGAACTCAGTTTGGACACTGTATGAGATGTGTTGAGGACATAACAGCAGCAATGCTCAGCAGAATTTGCAAACCCATGAACACAAACTGTTACTATGTTACATATTAAATGAATAATCAAAGAACAAGCTTAAAGCTTAAAATAAAGATTTTTAAAAAAATAATGGGACCAGCAGTTAGTGTAATGGCTATGTTGCTGGACTCCCACATACTGGACCATGGTTCGCGTCCCGGACCTGGTGGCTTAAAACTCACGCCGGGCGCGTGTGCGTGCGTGCCTAAGATCCCGAGAAGAGAATGGAGGAGAAGGAACTGCAGTGTGGCCACCCCCCCCGGGGGGGTGATTTCTCGCTTTCTGTCTCTCTGTCTCTGTCTGTCTGGCAAGCGCACACGTCCTATAGCAAAAAACCTCTCCAAAAAAAATTTAAATAAATAAATAAATAAATAAAAATAGCCTGTAAATGCATTAGTAGTGCTGAGGTGGCAGAATACATTTAGTATCTGCATTTTTGGAGTTCTTTGAAAATAACACAGGTGAAATGTTCCAGAAATTTTCTAAAGAGGAGTGCATTAGTTTGGCAGATGGGAGTCTTTTGTAAACATCTGTAAACTGTAAACAGTTTGACTAAAGACTAAGCAGTCAATCAAATACACACTTCATGCACTCAAGAGAGAACAGTGTCATACAAGGAAAGGGAAAGACATTCCCAGAAGGAAGGGGTGGTTGACACTGTTTAACATTACTGCGTAGTAAAGGGAGGTAAGAACTAGGAAGGAGGCATTAGAACTGGCCACTTGTTCATAAATAATTTTAGAAGAGCTTTTTTTAGTGACAGAACTGGAATGAGACAGAAACTAGATTAGAAAGGGTCGGAGAATAAGGTGGTAAGAAAGCAGAGGAATCTGATGTGGTATATATTTATACCAGGAGTTTGCTAGGAAAGGAAAGAGAAATATTAATAGAACAGTTTATCCAACCAGGTTCAAGTACAGAGAAACCAGTAAATGTTTTAAGATACAGAATCCTGGTCCCACACTATACTATTGCAAGGTGTTTGCTTTTATGTGAACTGGTATGATATTAATTCTAAGTATACAGTGGTAAGCTAATGATGCATATTATAATCTCTAAATAACAACAACAAAAAAAATGCAAAGTGATATGTCTGAAAAATGTAAATATGACCATCACATATCTCTCTTTGAAGTCCTTCAGTGGTTTCCTAACTCCGGGTAAATTTCAGATTTCCTAACACACCTTCTTGTAAATCCCTCCCTAGTTCCATTGTAATGAAAGGTATTTTTAAGATGAGTGACCTTGGGGGCTGGCAGGTGGAGTGGTGGTTAAGGGCGCTGGACTCCCACCATGGCCGACCGTGGTTCAAGTTTCAGATCTGGCAGTTTGTTTTCTCACTTTCTCTCTCTATCCTTTTCTGGTAAAATTAAAATAAATAAATAAACGGATAAAATAAAGTGAAATAAAATAATTCTTAAAAAAAAAAAAAGATGAGTGACCTTGATCCATTCAGTATTTTAAAAAGATAACATTGGCAACAAAGTGTAATATAGAGCTAAGGAGAAGTAGAGACAAAGAACTTACAAAGATAGTTACTGTCAGACAAGTGATAATAAGAGCCTGAACAAAATTTCTAGTGATGGGATAAAATGAAGAAATAGATTTGGGACCAGCAGTTGACATAATGGCTATGTTGCTGGACTCCCATGTAGTTGAACATGGTTCGAGTCCCGGACTTGGTGGCTTAAACTCACGCTGGGTGTGTGTGCGTGCGTGCATGCATGCCCAAGACCCTGAGAGGAGAATGGAGAAGAAGGGATTGCAGCGTGGCCATCCTCCCTGGGGTGTGATTTCTTGCTTTCTGTCTGTCTTTCTGGCGAGTGTACGCGCCCTTTAGCAAAAAATAAAAAAAGAAAGAAAAAAAGAAATTGATTTAAAGTAAAATTCAGAAAACACACATAACAAGGTTACCACTTTGGTTTATGTGTGTCAGGGAAGGATAACACAAGGACTGAATCAAGATGATTCTGATGATTCAACAAACAGGAAACAGGAAAAAAAAATCTTTGGGGGGAATATCTAGCAGCAGCTGGAGCTATAGCTACGGCACTTGGAAGAAAAGTCATGAGAGGAGAAATAGATTTACAGGACTCTGGCAGAGAGTATGGGTTGGTTGGTATAAACCAAGTACAGATTGAGAAGAGTATCTAGATTCAAGAGCTAAGGAAACAACAACAAAACACACAGAAAAGCAGGAAGACAACTGAGAAAGGCCAGCAACCTAACAACAACCATTAATTGAATACTTACTATGAGTCAGGCACTGTTTTAAGTACTTATCACATATTACCCTATTTCATTTCACTCAGTCACTATATTACCCTCATTTCCAGATGAAGAAACTGAAGCTAAGATAATTTAAACAGCTACCCTATGCTTATATAAGCAGGATATAGGGTAGCTGGGATTAAAACTTACAGGTTCACTGACTTTGGACCTGTGCTTTTTTTTTTTTTTGGAGAGGTTTTTGCTATAGGGCGCATACGCTAACCAGAAAGAGAGACAGAGAGATAGAACGAGAGAAATCAGTCCCTAGGGGGAATGGCCACACTGCAATCCCTTCTCCTCCATTCTCCTCGGGATCTTGGGCAAACATGCACATGCACCCAGCGTGAGTTTAAGTCACCGGGTCCGGGACTTGAACCGTGGTCTACTACGTGGGAGTTCAGCGACATAGCCATTACACTAACTGCTGGCCCCTGGACCTTACTCTTAACCTCTACTGAGAGTGATACTCCCCAAGCTTACTGATAATGACGACGGTGCAGATAACAGCCATCACTCACTGCACATTCATACTGTTCCGAACATTACCAAAAGATCTGCATGTGTTACTGCACATAATTCCAAACAGCTTGCAAGAGAAGTATGATTATCCCCAAATTCATGGATAGAAAATTGAGGCTCCCAAAGGTTATATAATTTGCCCAAGGTCACAGAACTAAAAGTAGGAATACTGGGATTCAAATCTAGAGTAGACAGAGGCATGTACAAACTAAAACAAGATAAACTTTCAAGAATGAAGCTTACATAAATGGATAGCTAAGAGGATCTGAAAACTGAGTTCAATCCAGGCAAAAGTGGAAAAGCACAACAGACCGAATCACTGAAAATACAGTTTTTATAAAATACCTGACGTTTGAGAGAGATCAACTCCATGTCCAGTTGCCTCAGGATCGTGTTGGCGGCATTGGGACTACAGGAAACAGCTACCACATCTTCCTGGGTTAAATACATGCCTTTAGGTGGACGGCACTTAGAACGCTGAGAATGATGGCGATGTTGTAAACTCTGATATTCTCTCCTTCCAAGTCCAATCTTGCTGGTTTGGACAGGTTGTTCAGTATTACCCTAACAAGGAGAATAACAGGTCATGGTATTTTCAAATTATTATGTGAAAATAGTCTATCATTCGTAGAAGTATCTGCTACACTACGTACACCTAAAAATACTTTTAAATATATCAAGTATCAGTCCAAACACACACACAGAATTCACAACTGGGAGAAAAAACATACAACATAAAGTATCTCTGATTAATCCACTCAAACAAATGCTTGGTTTCTAGGCCCAGAGGACTATGAATAAATGGAAATAAGTTAGACTCTAAAGTTTCCTGTATGCTTTGAGATGAAATATATTTTCCCTTAGTAATCAAGGTGTGTGTGGGGAGGAAGAAGATGCAACTTATTAAATGCAAAACTCTTGAAAGTCAAAATAAGAAAAAAAGGGGCAAATTAAGTATTATGACATGTGGCAGATTAGACAGCTGGTTTAAAAAAAAAGGAGTAACATTTCATTTTCACTTTGGAGATGTTGAAAGACAATTAGCCTCTAAAGGTAGTAAAGGACACAGAATTATCTTAACCCTGAAGACATCTCTAAACTCTTAATCTATGAATAAAACAAAAATGTTAATTTATATCTCAGAAGAGGTTAAGAAAGTTCTAATAATGATGACCATGAAGTCTTTTAAGTAGTATTTCATTATTGTTTGCAATATTCTTAAAATGTGTTATAAAAATACAATATTATTCTGTGCTTTTGAGAGCTCTATCAATCCATTAGAAACCATATCTGCAGCCAGCAGGTGGTGTGGCATTATGTTGCTGGACTCCCACATGGCTGACCGTAGATCAAGTCCCAGATGGGGTGAGACTTGAAACTCACACTGGGTGTGTGTGCATGCGTGTGGGCCCAAGACCCTGGGAAGAGAAAGGAGGAGAAGGGATTGTGGGGTGGCCGTTGCCCCACATTTGATTTCTCACTTTCCCTTACACTATCTCTGTCTGTCTTTCTCTGGTAAGTACACATGCCCTAAGGCAAAAACTTCTCAAAAAATAAACTGTATCTACCAAACTGAAAGTTATTTTAACAAAGAGAGCTAACGATCCAATTCACAAAACAAATGCATAATGAAGCATAACCTACTTTATTGCTTAAAAATGAACTCCACACAAAGCAAGGCAGATTTGATGATCAGAGAAATTCCTCCTAGTAAAGCACTCCTAAAATTGCTGGATCAAGTTATTATTTTTTTTACTTTAACTTTATTCAGTTGTTTATTTATTTTAATTTGACCAGAGAGGAACAGAGCAAGAGCAAGAGAGAAAGGGAAATTGAGAAAGCAAGCCACCAGGTTCAGGACTCAAACCATGGTCAGCCATGTGGGAGTCTAGCACCCTTAACCATCATGCCACTGGCCAGCCCCTGGGTCAAGTATTTTTTAAAAATCTTTTAAAATTCATTTCCAATGTGGCAAGGAAGTGAGAAAATTCCCCAGAGGCCAGAAATGATTTAAAAAAAAATAAAAAAAAGCAAAAATCCAGAGGGATTAGCAAGTATAAGAAGCTAGCATCTGCCTAAAGTCCAGGCTTCCATGAACAACAGGTGCAGGCACTGGAGACAAAGCCAGAATGCTGGACAGGGAACTCCATTACAGTGCAAGGCAGGAAAAAATAACTCGACTCTGCAGAGGGAGAGGATATGTATAGAGGATATGTAATGCCTATCTTATTCTGGGCTGGCTAGAAAGGAAAGAAACTAGAAAATGTCTCCCCTTAAAAACTTCTAACCACAGACCTGCATTCAGGCAAGTTTAGGGCCTAAGTTTATGTGATTTTTCTGACATGAACTCCAAATCAAAAATTTAAAGTGTCTCAATTTGGTAGTGTCTATGGAAACATGGCAAAAACAAAAACAAATTCTCTCTAGAAGAATGTACTTTAAACCTAGGACTCAATAATATGTTTATGACCAACAGAGCCTTACTAAATGAACTTCTAAAAGGTAATACTTCAGATTGTGGTTATAGCTACATAAACACAACTTACCTATTTAATTTGAGAGATTAAAAAAAACAAGAAGGGAAACTGGCAGGTGGCATGGTAGTTAAAGGTGCTGGGTCCCACATGGCTAACTGTGATACAAGTCCTGGACCTAGCAGCTTTCTTTCTCACTTTCCTTCCCTCCCCCCCTTTCCCTCTATCTCTGTCTGGTCAAATTTAAAAATAATAACAAATGGAATTAAAAACAAAACAAAAACAAAAACAAGATGTGGGGACCAGCAGATGGCATAAGGGTTATGTCGCTGGACTCCCACATGGTTGACCACAGTTCAAGTCCTGGACCCAGTGGTTTAAAACTCATCCTGGGCACATGTGCATGCATACCCCAAAACCCAAGAGGAGAATGTAGGAGACAGGATTGTGCTGTGGCCATCCCCCCGGGGGGTGATTTCTTGCTTTCTCTGTTTCTCCAGGGAGCACATGTGTCCTATAGTAAAAATCTCTGGGGAAAAAAAAATGAAAGAAAGAAAGAAAGAAAAAAAAAAACCCCAGATATGAAGGACCAACAGATGACATGGAGGTTAAGGTGGCTGGATCCCACTTGGCTAACTCTACAGTTTCAGTCTCGGACCTGGTGGCATGAAAATCATGCCCAATACATGTACTTGTGTGTCCAAAATCTAGGGAATGGAGAATGGAGAGGAGAATGGAGAAGAAGGGGTTGCAGCATGGTCATTCCCTCTGAGAGGGTGGGTGATTTCTCACTTTCCCTCTCTGTGTCTCTGAGTCTCTTGACAAGTGCATGCACCCAATGGTAAAAACCTAAACAAAACAAAAACATAAGATGTAACTATAACTGTAGACGAAAGCTACATAATCAGGAGTGCAGGGGCAGGAGTCAAAGCACTACAAGGGCTTTGTATTAACTATAAAATTATTAAAGATGGCTATATCAGATTTTTTTAAGAGAGATTTTGGGTATAGGGCATATGCGTTCCTAGAGAGACAGAAAGCGAGAAATCACCCCTCAGGGAGGATGGCCATACTGCAATTCCTTCTTTTCCAGTCTCCTCTTGGGATTTTCGGCACGCACACACAAATGCTCAGCATGAGTTTTAGGCTGCCGGGTCTAGGACTCGAACCACCATCAACTATGTGGGAATCCAGCAACATAACCATTATAGCATCTGCTGGTCCTCTATACCAGATTTTAAGCTAATTATACAGGATAAAATTTCCAGAATACACAATATGAAAACATCCCAAACTCGTAGAAAGAGAAAAATATAGGAAACATTTTTTTTTTAATTTTAGAGAGATTTTTGCTATAGGTGTGTGCTCACTGGAAAGACAAGAGATAGAGAGACAGAAAATAAGAAATCACACCCCAGGAGAGATGGCCACACCAGAATCCCTTCTCCTCCATTCTCCTTCCAGGATCTTGGGCATGCTTTCACATGCACTTGGCCTGAGTTTAAACCACCAGGTCTGGGACCTGAACGTGGGAGTCCAGCGATGTAACCATTATGCCATCTGCTGGTACCAGGATAAGTTATTAATCTCAAAAAATTGGCCATGTAGTAAGGGTTAGATGACTAGAAAAAAGCAAGTCAAATAGAAGGTAAAATAAGAAAACAAAATTATAAACAGATCCATGATCATGATCAATATAATTGGGCTGATCTCTTCAGATAAAATATAAAATTCCAGCTTAATACTTCTTATAAGAGACGTGCTTAAAAACATGAGAAAATGTAAATATTGAAAGTAAGATAATTAAGATGTGCCAGGTAATATCAGCTATACCATATCAGACAAAATAAGGCAGCAGTTGTAAGAGATGAAAGGGTCACCACATATTGGTATCTTGCTGCTCAATTCAGCAGCAAGATAAAACAATTCTAGACTTACGTGTACCTCATGCAATAGGTTCACAATTTTAAAGAAGTATTGCCTCTCAGCAATCGATTAATCAGAATAATTGATCAGATAAGCAGACAATAAAACCAAGCTACCAAGTAGGCAAGCGGTAAAAATATAGATTTCAACCACAGAACCAATAAGCTTAAATAAATGGACACATATAAACCTTGTAACTAACAGTGTGCACATTTTTCTCAAACACACATGGAAAAACATGAAAATTTCATATTCTATGCTTAGAAGTTTAAAATACATCAGCAAATTCTTCAACATTCTTGCCACTGAAAAGGATCTATAAAGGGTCTTCAATACACATGAAAAAAACTGCATCAATTTAAATTTGTTTTTACACTAAAATAAACTCTTACTTCCATTTGATTTCTCCATGAACTTTTTGAGCTCCCCTCCTTATATCTCCTTCCCTTGACTCTTGGAACTAATTTTAATGACTTACTCACAACCAATAGAATGCAGAAGGGATGCTGAATAACTTCCGAGGCTGGGCCCAAAGCAACTGAGTAGCTTCCACTTGATACTTTTGGTATTGATTAATTTGGAGGAAACCAGCCATCATGAAAAGAAGCCAGATTATTCAGAGACCACCAGGCTAAAGAAGCCACGTGGAATTGCCCCAGTCAACTGCTAACATCAACTACCAGCAATGTGAGTGAGTCTAAACTTCCAGTAACATCCTATGTGGTGTTGAAACATAAAAATCATTCTCTCTAAAGTCAGGAATAAGAAAAAAGTGTCTGGTATCATAACTTACATGCAACAGTATACTGGAGCTTCTAACCAGTTCAGTAAAGGAAGAAATAAAAGGTGTAAGGATAGAAAAGATACATAATTGCAATTATTTTCAGGTAATATTTCATAGGAAATCCAAAATAAGCTGCAAATCAATTATATGAAGGTTTCATTTCTCCCCAGTTTATACACAGATTCAAAGGAACATCTAGTACAGCTGTCCAGGAACGTGAGAAACTTAAAAAGCAAAGGTTCAAGAATAGCCAAGGTACTTACTCTTTAAGAACCATCACCAAGTAGTGGAATTAGTCATATCAACTGTGGAGACTTATTTTAAAGCTATAGTAACTGAGATACAATGGGACTGTTGAGGGATAATTAACAGGCAAGAGGTGTAGAATAGAGATCCTTGCATACGTAGGAGTCTTAGTAAGACAAGGATGTTACTACAGACCAGTTGAAAAAGATGGAACCACTTCCATATTGAAAATAAATACATAAAAATGGATCTCTACCTCACAAAATAAATTAAAGTTATTTACTGCTAGATTAAGGTCTTAAATGTAAAAAGAAAACCTTTACAATTTTGAAAAGAAACTAAATAATAATATTGAAGTTTGAAAATGTACACGCTTTTGATGAACTACTGCTTACCCAAGCCTACAGAGGTAAAAAGATAAATCACAAACTGCTAGAAGATCTTTGTACATTTAACCAAAAGGCTGGTATCCAGAATATATAAATAATTCAGTAAGGAAAATAAATTTATATATTCTATCTTTAAGAAAAAGATAAATGGTCCAATAGCAAACTAAGTTAAAAATAAAAATATAAAGAAGCACTTTAAAATAAACTAGTTCTATTCCAAACAATCCCGGCATTGTTATGCAAGTCACTGTTAGCATTTTGGTCAAACAATTTGTGCTATGCCTTTCATGAGAGCTGTCATCCGTCTCTCCTGCCTACTCTATGACATGGTAACAATGAAAAACACTTTCATTATTTCTACACGTCCTTTATGAGGTTGACCCTAAACCTGGCTGAGAACTACTGTCTCTCAAAACTCTTATACATGTATATCTAGGACCTATTCACATTAGCCTTGTTCATAATCATAAAAGGTTGAGAATGATGCCTATTGATTTGTGGAAGAGCAGAGAAATGAATGAAGCTGCTGACAGTGCTAGTCCTGGACCACAATTTGCAGTAACCTTTCAACATTTTTAATATATACCCCCTCCATATTATTTGCTAATACAATGAGCTTACGGGCAAACAAAGACCAAATAAGTATGCATCATCTTGCACAGCTGGGCAAAACAATTCACATACATACATGTTCTAGGTAACAAAAGGGATTTGGTTCACACACATTGCGCCCACTCCCAGGGGAATGACCATGCTGTAACGTCTTCTCCTCCTTCTTCTCTTGGGATTTTGTGCATGCATGCATGCACGCACACACCTGGCATGATTTTCAAATTGCCAGGTCTGGAACAGCAAACCACAGAGCCAGCTATGTGGGATCCCGCACCTTAACCTCCATGCCACCTGCTGGCCTAAGATACAGTAATGCTTTTAAATCTAAGAGTATATTCTTGAGCTACACTGAAAAGGCTGGAAATATGGGAAAGAAAAAGGATTACTGATGAAGAAATCCAAGAGCAGATATAATGGGGTAAATGAGATAAAATAAATAAGAAAATTGTGCAGAAGTATGAGAGGCATTCAGGCACAAGAATGCTCACTCAGCATTTACTGAGGAGCTGCCATGTCCGAGGTACCATGTAAAGTGTGAAGGGATATGAGATGAGTAACAGTCCCTGACTTCCCAGAGTGCACAGCTTGCGGGGAAAACACAGTAACTGTAATGCAATGCTGAAAGTACCAAATAAACTAAGACGAGAAGGTAGTGTGGTAGCACAGAGGTTAGAGGAATGGCTGGAATTTAAGGAAGCTTCTGCTGTGTATTTTCTCTTTGAAGTAAGTGGTGAAGGTATCTGCCAAGTGTTTTCCTGTAGCAAAAACCTCTCAAAAAAAAAAAAAATTCACTGATGGAAGAGTTTAAGGTGATGGCAGGGCTCAGAATGGTCTATGGTACTGAGGAATGGGAGTCATTCATTAAATTGGATTAGGTTACAAGTTCAAATTTGGATTTATTGACTCTAATTTCTGTTATTTTCACTATTCCACAGCTGTCTAAATCTCACAAACCTTTTTCCATCAGCACTTTGACGAACTTTTTTTTTTTTGGAGAGTTTTAAGTCTCGGACCTGGTGGCTTACTTTCTCACTTTCCCTCTGTCTTTCTGACTCTCTCTGGCGCACGTATGTCCCCTATAGCAAAGTAAAAAAATGAAATTAAGTAAATCATTCTTTTTAAAGAAGTATGGCACATGCAATTATGTATAAAACTGTTATTTTAGTGTGTAATACTACTTTTATTTATTTATTTATTTATTGGGGGGGGGAGAGGTTTTTGCTATAGTGCGCGTTCGCTCGCCAGACAGAAAGAGAGACAGAGAGACAGAAAGCGAGAAATCAACCCCCAGGGGGGATGGCCACGCCACAATCCCTTCTCCATTCTCCTCTTGGGATCTTGGGCATGCACGCACACGTGCCCGGCTTGAGTTTAAGTCACCAGGTCGAACCACAGTTGACTACGTGGGAGTCCAGTGACATAGCCATTATGCTAACTGCTGGTCCCTACTTTTATTTATTTTTTAATTGCCAAGTGATGCATGAGCTTGACAGAGAGTAAGAGAGAAAGCACCCCCACAATGGGGGTATGGTCATATTGCAATCCTTTTCCTCCATTTCTCTGTGAGGACTTTGGGCACACATACACACATGCTTTTCAAGCTGCCAAGGCTGAGACTGAAACCATGGCCAGCTATGTGGGCTCTTAGCTACACTAAGGGGCCTGTCCTGTATGCCTTCTACTCATAACAAAAAGTTTACCGTAACACAGGCTGCCACGCTATGCTGAGGCAGCGGTCTCCGACACTGCGTTTACAGCATCTCTTGATTTCATCATTTTCTTGTATGCTTGATTTAATCTCCCACTGTTTTGTTCATCATGGCCCTTCCAATGAGACAAAACTAGAGGCACCTGTCAGTGATACTGGTAATTCTGACTCCATTGTAGGCCTAGGCTAGCATGTGTTTATATCTGTGTTAACAAAAAAGCACTTAAAAGGAAAAGAGCTTATATAATAAGGATGTAAAAATAGAAAATATTTTGTAAAACTGTACAATGCGTTTGTGTGTGTGTGAGTGTGTTTTTGGAGAGATTTTTGCTATAGGGTATGTGCAATCACCAGAGAGACAGAGAGAGACAGAAATTGTGAGAAATCACCCCCCCCCGGGGGGGGGGATGTTCATACTGCAATCCCTTCTTCTCCATTCTCCTTTTGGGATTTTGGGCATGCACACGTGACTGGCGTGAGTTTTAGGTCACCAGGTCTGGGACTCAAACCGCAGTCAACTACACAGGACAATTACACCATTTTTTTTTTGGAGAGGTTTTCACTGTAGGGCGCGTGCGCTCGCCAGACAGACAGAGAGGGACAGAGAGACAGAAAGCGAGAAATCACCCCCCGGGGGGATGGTCACGCCGCAATCCCTTCTCCTCCATTCTCCTCTCGGGATCTTGGGCACGCACACACACGCGCCCGGCGTGAGTTTTAAGCCACCGGGTCCGGGCTGCGAACCGCGGTCGACTACATGGGAGTCCAGCGACATAGCCATTACGCTAACTGCTGGTTCCCAGGATATTACACCATTATACAACCATTGTGCCACCTGCTGGTCCTAGTGTGTTTGTGTTTTAAGCTAAGTGTTGTTACAAAAGAGCTGAAGTTTAAAAAATTGAAAAGTTAATAAAGTAAAAAAGTTATAATAAATTAAAGCTAATTTATTACTGAAGAAAGAAATTTGTAATAAATTAAGCATAGCCCAAGTTACAGTATTTACAAAGTCTACCGTAATATACAGTAATACCCTAGGCTTTCACTTACCAGTCACTCAGTGACTCATCCAGAGCAATTTCCAGTCCTGAAAGCTCCATTCATGGCAAGTGCCCTATACGGATGCACCATTTTTGTCTTTCATACTGTATTTTTGTTATCCCTTTTCTATATTTAAATACAAACATGCACTTGACATTGTGCTATAATTGCCTACAGTATTCAGTATATAACATTTTGTACAGGTTTGTAGCCAAGGAGCGAAAGGCTGTGCCATATAGCCTAGGTGCACAGGAAGCAGTACCATCTAGGTTGTGTAAGCACATCCAATATAATTTGCACAATGACAAAATCACCTAACAACACATTTCTTAGACATATCCATGTCATTAAGCAATGCATGACTACCTGCTGCTACTACGTAATTTGCTACAACATAGAATAACATATTTTCAAGAAAAATTGGACAACGAAACCAGAAAGCTTAATTTCATACCTAATATTGTATCACTTAAGGGTGGTTTTAGTTCTTTCCTGTGATTAAAGACTACAGATCGTGGCAATGCTTTTATATTTCTCAGTGGATGAAATAACTCCAAAATTATTTAAACCACTAGTTAATTAGGGTCCTAGACATTAATATAATTTCCAAACCCTCAAATTAGCATTGAGATTTATTACTTCCTTTTTTTTAAAAAAACCTTTTAAAAATATTTACTTATTTATTTTTATTTGTTATTATTACTATTATAATAATTATTATTATTTAATTTGACAAGAGAAGGAGAGAGAGAAAATGAGAGAGCAAGCTTCCAGGTCTGGGACTTGAACCATAGTCAGTCATGTGGGAGTCCCGCACCCTAACCACCATGCCACCCGCTGGCCACAAGATTTACTACTTTTTAAAACCATTATCTAAAGAAGTTTTTTTTTTTTTAACATGAAATACATTCTTTCAAAGTGGATATAAATAACAATTATGAATACTCCAATGATCTTCATTACCTCTTTTTTGGCTTCTTTTTTGGGATCATAATCACTATCATTCCCATCCATTGGATGTGTTTCTTCTACATCATCATCACTGAGAAGAAACAAAGATTAGTAAACTCAACTCCCTTCTTTTTATTCTTTTCTAGTACTCCTATCAAGTTGTAATATACATTCTAATTTTACTAAATATTATTTAACAGAATGAGAGTTGTTCTTGGGAAGATAAGCTGGTCATTTATATTTCCATAGTGTTTAAAAACATCCTTTGAGGCACACAAAATCATTTTAACAAACATTTCTGGTAGATGTCAAATGGGACAGTGATTGAGAAAGAAATTTAACTTAGGAAAAAGAAAATGTACAATTTGACATAATACTTAAAATTTCAGTTCTCCAGTTAGAGAATAAAGACAGGCAAACAAAAGAAAATGATTTTACACTACCAGACACAAATAGCTACAATAATGGGACTTCAGTTACTAATATAATCATGGGAAAAAAGCATTTTCCACAGGATATATTCTTTAATATATTCTAAATAATGTACTTAATATAACCATACTATAGGTAGCATTTGTGACTACTGTTAAGAGAGTTGAAGAGAATTCTTACTATTAAAACTTCTGACCATTCGACTCTTCCTGTCAGAGCAGAAACATGAATGTAAGGATAGGAAGTATTTATAATATATTGTGATCATTTTCTACCATGGAAATGAAAGCAATTCACTGTAGTATCCTTAACACGGTAACCATATAAAGGTATCCAACCTACCTGTCACCCTGATTATGTCTATTGGCTAGTTTACGAGCCTGGCGATCCATCAAACTTGTCCTGGAGCGAGTTTTTTTCCAGGAATAGTAATATTTTACAAGACTTGCAATTGTCTTATCTGGAAGCTTAAAAAAAAATCATGTTAACATCAACAAATTTAATTCATAAACTTTGATTAACAAAATGAACGATAGCTTGATATTCTTAGATCATTAATAAATAAAGGTATAAATGAAAGAATCTCATGGGTCCCTTTATGAATCAGAGAGCTATTGGGTCATCGGCAAAGTCATGATGCATTTTTGCAAAGAAAAATACATTGTGACTTCCCCAACAACCTAATAAAAAGTCCTGTTATACTCATAATATCCCAACATGTCAATGTCGCTGACATTTGTAAGTGAATATTCCTACTTGTTCTGGGAGAGGGGAGGGAAGAGGTCACAAACTAACTTGGTAGGAATGTCCCCAGGAAGTGCACTGTGTCTATCTAATTTCAGAACATTTTCATAACCCGAAAAGAAACCCTTAAAACCATTAGCAGTCTCTCCTTATTTTCCCCTTCCCCTCTTCCCTGGCAACCACTAATCTACTTTCTGTCTCTATGGATTTCCCTATTCTGGACATTTCATATAAATGGAATCACACAAGATGTGACCTTTCTGTCTGGACTCTCGTTCAGCAAAACATTTTCAAGAAAAGCTATTCAATGCTTAATAATATTTTTTTAAATCACTTTAAATCCAGGCAAAATAGTAAATAATGCAAAGAGACTTTAGCCACAAAATAAAGTCTTTGAGTATTAAAATGACTAATGATTATACACTGATTTGTCACAGTGGCCAAGAGGAATGCAAACTTCCCACCAAAAATGTTCTCTTCAGTTATGGAAGATTACTAGATTTACTTGCAAATATTACCTAATTTTCATTCACTAAGGTTAAAACAGTATAATGCAGCAGCTTCTCAGATTTATATCATCTTTATACAATGCTAAAAACTAAAGAGTGTTTTTACTCCTTAAAAGAAAAAGCAACAGTGGCCCAGTCACACTAGTATAAGCAGGAGGGTGCCCCTATCCAGGGGCTGAGGGTACATGGGAGACACAGGTTCAGTTCTTAGCCCAGTCTAAATCATCTGGGTATGGCTGGGCATGGTGCTGCATGCCTCTCATCCTAGCTAAGAGGCTGGAGCAGGAGGATGAGACACAGTGAGACCCCCGTGAAAAATACATCTGTCTTTTCCTGTGTCTTTCCCTCTTTTTTCTGCACGGGGTCTTTTTCTTTAAAAAAAAAAAAAAAAAAAAAAAAAAAAGCAACATGAGGAGCATATTGAAATAATAGAATTTTTTTTAAATGGGCTTTCAAGATAGCCCATGGCAGGGCAGTTAAGGTGACTGGATCCTACATGGCTGACCCTGCAGTTCAAGTGCCAGACCCAGTATCTTGAGAAACATACCAAGTCTGGGTGCAAGCATGCCCAAAATCTCAAAAGGAGGGAAAGACAGAGGACCAGGGATTGTAGTGTGACTACCTCCCCACATGGGACATATGTTCTCCCTCTCCCCTCCCCCCTTCTCTCAGGTGAGTGCACATGCCCTCTGGCAAATTAAAAAAAAAGTTGGGGGGGTGCTTTTACATCCAAAAATTATATAAATTAGAAAAAAATCTGATTAAAAAAAGTTACATTATGTTCTTTTTCTTTTTCCTGGAATGAGAAGCATATTTAATAACTCTCTTACAAACATATTTAAGTCAAAATAAAAACAACAAAATAGTACATGATTGTCATGTATAAATGGCTATAGAAAATAAGGCTCTATGCAAATATATGTATTCCAATATATTTTCTTAATTAAAATTAAATCAGAAACTTCTGTGGGGGCCAGCAGATGGAGTGGTGGTTAAGGGTGCTGGACTCCTACATGGCCTACCATGGATCAAGTCCCAGACTTGGAGACTTGCTTTTTCACTTTCTCTCTCTCTCTGTCACTCTCTGGTAAAATTTAAATAAATAAATAATAAAATAATTCTTAAAAAAAAAAAAGAAAGAAAGAAACTTCTTTGAACATAGTAATTAGAAAGTGTACATGATAGCATAAGATGTTATTCAGGCATGAATCCCAGAGTAAGACCAAAATGACCATACCATTTGCTGAATCCTATGAAAGCTCTTTCCATGAAAACTAAAGGCTTGTTCAAACAGGACTTTATCTTCCACAGTCCACTCATCCGGAAAGGGAGTGAAATTAGGGAGATCAGCGAGAGACTTCTCGATGTTATGTTTATGCCAGAACAACATGCCAAGTGCCTATGAAGAGAAATCATTCCTTTTTGGTTTTAATGGACTTACGTACCATCACATTTAAGAAAGTTAAACACAAATCACACTAAAATCTTAAGCCTAGGAGTTCAACTGAAGTTACGCTTACAGTTGGGAGCTTTTAATCAGGGGTGCCCAGGTAAGCACACCTCATTTATTTATTGTTTTTAAACTGGGAACTGAAAACAGTAAATGTTCTCACATACCATATCTGCTGCAGAATCTAGGAAAAGCCGAGAGCTGAGGAGAGTGACTGTAAGTACTAAAGCACATCTGTAGGCTCACATCAAGATTGTCACCATTTGTTAACCTGCCAACGTGTAGGAAACTAGCCAGTAAATCAATACGGGAATGAAATCGATACTTGTATGAAGCTATCGATTTCAACACACACACACACACACAAAATGCTCACTTGGGATTCAGCAAAAAAACATTTAAGTTTTAACCTTTTCGAAGTATATCACAGGGGGACCAGCAGTTAGCTTAATGGCTATGTCGCTGGACTCCCATGTAGTCAACCAGGGTTCGAGTCCCAGACCTGGTGGCTTAAACTCACGCCAGGCACATGTGCATGCATGTCCAAGATCCTGAGAGGAGAATGGAGGAGAAGGGATTGCGGCGTGGCCATCCCCCCTGAGGGATGATTTCTTGCTTTCTGTCTCTGTCTTTCTGGTGAGCACACGTGCCCTATGGCAAAAACCTCTAAAAAAAAAAAAAAAGTATATCACAGGGTTGGGACCAGCAGTTAGAGTAATGGCTATGTCACTGAACTCCCATGTAGCCAACAGTGATTCGAGTCCTGGACCCAGTGGCTTAAACTCACGCCAAGCGCATGTGAGTGCGTGCCCAAGATCCCGAGAGGAGAATGGAGGAGAAGGGATTGCGGTGTGGCCATCCCCCCTGGGGGGTTATTTCTCGCTTTCTATCTCTGTCTCTCTGTCTTTCTGGTGAGCGCACCCGCCCTATAGCAAAAACCTCTCCAAAAAAAAAGAAGTATATCACAGGGAAACAATTCTAAGGAAGAGTACCTTTGCTTCAAGAACTTTAACAATCTAATATTTTCTCACATACATATTTTAAAGTTCTTTATCTTCACAATGTATACACAGGATTATTCAGAAAAATATAAATAACTTCAGTGATGTTATCGCCAAGTCACAGGAAGTCTGAAATGAATACTTTCTGAAAACTCCCTTACTTTCTCCTCTACTGTATCTAGTATGCCTTTACCTTTATTACAAGGTATTGAGTATCAGGAAATAAACTTTTATTTATTTATTTAGTTAGTTTTTGCTATAGGATGTGTGTATTTGCTGAGGGGGACAGAAGAAAGTGAGAAATCACTCCCCAGAGGGGTGGCCACATAATTCCTTCTCCTCTATTCTCCTCTTGGGATTCTGAGCATGTATTCGCGTGTGCCCAAGCATGTTATTCAAGCTGCCAGGTCTGGTACTTGACTGCAAAGCCAGCCATATGGGGTCTAGCTGCTTTAACCACCATGCCACGGCTAGCCCTGATAAACTTTTAATTATTTATTTATTTTAAATAATTATTTATTATTACTACATTTTTATTTGACCAAACACACACACACACAGACACACACACACACACACACACACACACATGCGCAGGGGGAGGGGGGGGGCAGTGAGAAAGCAAACCACTAGGTCTAGGACTCAAACCATGGCTGGCCATGTGGGAGTCCAGTGTCCTTAATCACCATGCCTCTCACTGGCCCCTAAACTATTATTTAATTTTTTAAATTTTTGAATTTTTGGAGAGGTTTTTGCTGTAGAGCGGGTGCGCTCACCAGAAAGAGAGACAGACAGAAAGCAAGAAATCACCCCCTAGGAGGGATGGCCATGCCACAATCCCTTCTCCTCCATTCTCCTCTCGGGATCTTGGGCACACACACACACATGCCCAGCATGAGTTTAAGCCATCAGGTCCAGGACTCGAATCGTGGTCAACTACATGGGAGTCTAGCAACAGAGTCATTATGCCAACTGCTGGTCTCTAAACATTTATTTTTTTAAAAAGAGATGTAAAGGCCTTTTAAATGATGAGTTTGAAAGTTAATTTCTGTACTTTGATAATAGTCCTTCAAAATAAACATATAGCCTTTGAAAATAAACATATGTACAGTCACGTTTTGAAGAAATAACTATTTCAAATATTAAATGGAAAGGCAAGGCTTAAAAAAATAGGCAAGGCCTTCTAAATCAACACATACAAAAGGTTAATGATAGCACAGGCAGATATAGATAAACACTTGAACTTCATAAAAATGGTATTATTGGACCAGCCAGTGGCACGGTGGCTAAGGCAGCTGGATCCCATATGGCCAACTGCATGATTTGAGTCCCAGAACTAGAAGCTTGAAGAAAACACATGAGGCATGTGTGCATGTGTGTCTAAAATCCAAAGAAGAGAAAAGAGGAGAAGGGATTGCCACGTGGTAATACTATATACGTCTACTATATACGTGTGTGTGTGTGTGTGTGTGTATGTGTGTTTGCGTGTATGTACTGTATACTATATATATATATATACCAGTATGCTCCCTGTTACTGACTATAAAGTTAAGCTCTAGAAACCCAGGGTTCAATTTACCTTGCTTACTTCTCTGAAAACAAATCAACCTATTTTACTATAAATTCTGATAAAGGCTGATATAGGTCTCTGAAATGAGACTTAAGTCCCTATTTTACTTTTAATTTTCCATATTCTCCATTTCCTTATTAGAGTTAATCTACCTCATGATACCTCCCCCCCAACAGACAGGAAGTTATAGATAGAAATATATCATGTATGGATACATGCTTTTAAAGTTATCTGGCATGGAACACCCTTTGTGAATTCTTCTACTAAAAATTTCAAAGCTTTAAATATTTCTTCAAATGATAAGTTTAACTTTTAGAAATTTTAGAGCAAAAAGTCAACTGAAAATTACCTGTACTGTCAGATTTTTGCATAAATAAATTATCTGTTTCAAAATCCTAACCATGTATACTTACCCGAAAATACGCCAAAAACTTACTTTGCTGTGACTTTTGTGGTTATATATAAAGTGGTAGAACGTGTGTGCTTTCTTAGGACACAATCATGACATGTTCTTTGAATCTGGTGAATACTGAGGTAAGCCTTATATTAAAATCTTCTGAGGCTGGCAGGTGGTATGTGGTTAAAGGCACTGGACTCCCACATGGCCAACCTTGTTTTGAGTCCTAGACCTAGTGGCTTACTTTCTCATTTTCCCTCTCCCCCCTGCCCACTCTGTCTGATCAAACTGGAAAATAATAAAGTTAAATAAAATAATTCTTAAAAAAAAGAACAAAACAGGGGGCCAGCAGGTGGCGTGGTGGATATTGGCGCTGGATTCCCATATGGCCAACTGTGGTTCAAGTCCCAACCTGGTGGCTTGCCTTCTCGCCTTCCCTTTTTCTCTGTCTCTCTCTGGTCAACTTAAAATAATAATAACAACAACAAATGGAATTAAATAAATAATTTAAAAAAAAAAAAACTTTCTTGGGAGCCAGCAGGTGGCATGGTAGTTAAAGTGCTGGACTCCCACATGATCAAGTATAGTTCAAGTCCCAGACCTGGTGGCCTGCTTTCTCACTTTCCCTCTCTCTCTGGCTAAATTAATAATAATAATAATTGGGATCAGCAGATTGCGCACTGGTTATGTTGCTGGACTCCCATGTAATTGACTGCAGTTTGATCCCCTGACCCAGCTGCTTAAAACTCAAGCTTGGAGTGTGTGCTTGTGTGCCCAAAACCCCAAAGGGAGAGACGGGAGAAGGGAGAAGAAAGAAATCGCAGTGTGGCCATCTCCCCTGGGGGGTGATTTCTCGCTTTCTGTCTCTCTTTCTCTTCAACAAGCGCACATGTCCTATAGCAAAAATTTCTTTAAAAATAAATAAATAATAATAATAATTAATAAAATTAAATACATAATTTATTAAATTGTTTAACATACCTGTTCCACATTGTAGCCATGTTTCTCCTTTGCAATTGCAATATATTCATCCACTATAATGAAATAAGGTTATATAATTATATTCTCATTTCCCACATTTTCCCAGGTGCATTTTTTTAAAAATATAGCAAAGTAAAATAACTTATAGACCAGGAGTTAAAAAACAACCAAAGCCATCTTCCGTGAAATGTTACAAAGAAACATAACAAGGTCAGAAGCTCATCTGCCTTAAAAGTTTACTTAATAACTTATCTCTATGACAATGTATCATATTTTTATTAAATTCAATTACATTATTATAATTTTTGTATGTAGAAAAAGGCCAATCTGCAGATAGCCAATAGGACCTAATTACAGTGTAAGATATTAAGATAATTTCTTGATTTTCTGTTACAGTCTTTATTTGAAGAGACTTAACTATTTAATTTTTTTTAACTTTATTTATTTGATGAGAGAGAGAGAGAGAGAGAGAGAAAGAGAGAAAAAAAGTGAGAAAGCAAGCTGCCAGGTCCGGGATTCAAACCATGGTCAGCCATGTTGGAATCCAGTGCCCTTAACCACCACGCCACCTGCCAGCCCCATGAGACTTAACTGTGTAAGATCCTTTCACATATTAAGAGTTGGCCCAAAGCCTTATCATCCCACTTCTGACTGCTGTGTATAGGATGGTTTATCAATATTTAGCCAGCTATACATAATTACCAATACTATGAAGTTTGCTTCAGTATTCCTAAAATTGTCTTTTGCTTTCTCTGCTTACTATACAAAGGGTGTTTGAATATTCCATTTCATTTACCCTCCATAGGTAATTAAGCCAACAGAATTACTTACATAAGCAGTTTCAATGATGATAAACTGGCTATTTCAAGGTTTCACTGATGAGAAGTCTGCCACACTCAGCAGGCCTAGTTTTCTATTAAGTCCATATAGTATTCTCTTCTTGGTTACATGTGAATATAGATATGTGTGTGTATATATAAAAATCTCATAAACATTAATTCTTTAAATATATTTTTGTGAAACAGTGTTTAAGAATTCTGATTCTGGAACGGCCAGACAGCTAGTCTATCTGGGCTTGATTCAGAGTTTATTGATGGTTTTTCAACTTTAGTCAAGTAAGTTGACCTTTCCGTATCTAAGTTTCCTTACTTGAAATTAATGATAAATTTAGTTTCTTCTTCCTATGATTAAATGGGTCAATACCTGGGAAATGCTCAGAATAGCATCTGGAACATTTTAAGTACTTTATAAATATTTGCTATTATTATTGGTCAGTCAAAGTTAATATATGAATATGCTATTTTAACGATAATGTTATGGGACTAGCAGATGGCATAATAGTTACATTGCTGGACTCCCACATAGTCAACTGTGGTTCAAGTCCTGGACCCAGCGGCTTAAACACATGCCCGGTGTGTGTGCATGCATGAACAAGAGGAGAATGAAGGAGAAGGGATTGCATTGTGGCCATCCCCTCTGGTGGGTGATTTCTCGCTTTTTGTCTGTCTGTCTCTCTCTGCCTTTCTGGTGAGCACACGCACTTTATAGAGAAAACCTCTAAAAAAAAAAAATGTTGTTAGAATAACAACTACTTTTTATAGATGTTATTATATTCCCCTAAGTGTAAGCTTTTCATGCAGCAAATCCAAATACAACATTTTGTTTTTAACCCAAAGCATTTAAATACATGATCAGTCTCAATATGCTAATTAAATGTAACAGTTCTATAAACAGAAGGCTAAACAATATCAACCTGTGGCCTTTGATTCTGACTCTGCATTAGAATCAGCGCAGGAGCTTTTAATACGATGTCTAGGCCTCACACAGGGAGATTCCCATCTAGTTGGTTTAAGACAGAAATTAGCCATCAATACTTTAAAAAGTTCCTCAAGTGATTCCAATGCACAGCAAGGTTAAAAAATCACGGCCCTAGACCTTCAGTTGGATATTTCACATAGACACCGTACAACTAGGACATGCTGGCTCTCTAAATCGTGTTTTCTAAAACGGCAAAAGTCAATGATGCCTTGATGTGTGTGAGTGAAAACCTCTGCCTGTAATGAGGACTGAACCTGGAAAATCCAATAGTCTCTTTCAGGTTCTCAGTATGGAGCCCCAGCCTAAATGAATAATTTCAGGTTTTCTGCTAAGCATGCCTCAGAGGCACACAATTCTGAGATAACCAGTGAGACCTTTCGTTGGTGTTGTAAGGCTCATAGATAGGAAGAATTATCAGATATGCCGAAGCATGTTCGGTTTTCAATTCTTAGTTCTCACAGTATATCAATAAGCATAATTAGACTTATTATGCATATGATATACAGGATATCACTATATGATCTTCATGGAACTCAAAAAACCCTAATGGTACATCCTAAAGATGTTGGTAAACATTTTTAAAAGATCAGCTCATTCTATAGCTGCTAGAATAGCTGTTCAGTGTGTCTGCTGTTATCTAATAAACTCAATGACAACTGAATGGAGGGGTGGGGATCTTTGTGTGGTTACCTGCACGTTTCCTATATCTGATGTGCCGCAAAGGATCAGGTCCGCTACATCACATTGAAGTCTAAAGCCACACCATGATTCAAGAAGTGCATGGTCAGTGATCCAGAAGGTCTCCGTCCAGAAATGGAGAGCACAAAGATGACCTGATGGCTGCTGAAGTCAGTTCTTTTCCCTCTCCTCTTTAAAATGGTAATGAGATTGGGCTCTCTGAAGTTTGAAGGCATTTCTTTACAGCTCCACATACTGAGGAAAAGCCTGTGCAGATGTCTACATAGTAACTCCCTCCCCTGCTTGAGGATTTAAGCAGCAGCAATGCCATCAGATCCTAGGTTTTTTCATTCTTCATTGGCCTGACACGGATTGGCATGATCAACCCACTATCTTTCAAAAGGAAAAACATTCTAATATGACAACCTCTATTAAAAAAAAAAAAGACAAAAATGTTTTCTTATGAGAATCTAGAAGACCCAAAACAAATAGACGTTGCATTTTGAACTGGCTGACAGATCTCTGTTGACATTAACATTCAATTTCAGAAAACTTACATTTGGTATCTGGGATACTGTGATATGGAGACCATACAAGCATTCCTCCATTGTCTTTATCTGTGTACTTTGTAGCACCTAGGGAAAAAATTCATTACTTTGAATGTGACGGATTTTATTTACATTCAAAATAAGCATGGCTGAAATAAGCACTACTTCTATTTTAGTGTCGGACCTGCAAAGGAGTATTTTTTTAAAAGTACAGAAAAACAAAAGAGAGGCAAAACAGACTTACATTAAATACAGTAAATATTCTGTTTATGAAAGTTGAAGCTTACACCCTTTGAATTGAAAAAAAAAAAAAAGAAAACTCTTTACTTAAGGTTATAACATAGTACTTCCTTACTGAAAGCAATAACTCTGAATTAAGTTTCTATACATTATTTAGGGGTGGGTATTTAAAACCCTTAATTTTTTTAGAGAATGCCTCATGTACTATTTTGCCCCATTTAAAAGGGCCAAGATTGCTATAATTTTTAAATAGTTGTGTCTGCTTTTTATATTTTTAAATCTTATTTCTTACTAAAAGGCTACTAGCTATTCCTTTTTAAATTTAAATTTACTACATTTTATACTTATAAAAGTATGCACTCTATGAGAAGAAAAGTAAAAGATGCAAAATAGTAATGTAACATGTTTTTTAAATATATTTTTATTTATTTATTTATTTGTTGTGATTTTCAAGTCACTGGGTCTGGGTCTCAAACATGGTCAGCCATGTGGGAACCAGTACCCCAACTACCATGCCACCTGCTGGCCCCTGTAATGTAACTTCTTACTGTAATATAAAAAAGTTTACTTCTAATTGGACATATTCCACACCTTTCTAATTTATTTCACAACTGTTATAATCTAGAAAGAAAAAAAAAACAAGCTTTATAGAAACTACATGTAATTTAAGAATAAAAAGAACAAATGAAAGTGTGACAGTTATAGCAGAGCCAAGTACATGCCCGTATGTTTCATTTTTTTATTGTAATTACATGGTGGTCTTTTTCTGACTTCTACCTAATTCTAAGTTCCATTCAAATTAATTAAAACTACCAACAAATTGCTGCCACTTTTTTTTTTTTTTGAGAGGTTTTCGCTATAGGGCCTGTGCGCTCGCCAGACAGAGAGAGACAGAGAGACAGAAAGCGAGAAACCACCCCCCAAGGGGGATGGTCACGCCGTAATCCCTTCTCCTCCATTCTCCTCTCGGGATCTTGGGCACGCACCCACACGCGCCCGGCGTGAGTTTTAAGCCACTGGGTCCGGGATGCAAACCGTGGTCGACTACGTGGGAGTCCAGCAACATAGCCATTACGCTAACTGCTGGTTCCCGCTGCCACATCTTTTAAGACACATCATAACCACCTTTTCTAAAAAAAAATTTTTTTTTTTTTTTGGAGAGGTTTTCGCTATAGGGCGCGTGCGCTCGCCAGACAGACAGAGAGAGAGACATAGAGACAGAAAGCGAGAAATCACCCCCCAGGGGGGATGGTCACGCAGCAATCCCTTCTCCTCCATTCTCCTCTCGGGATCTTGGGCACGCACACACACGCGCCCGGCATGAGATTTAAGCCACCGGGTCCGAGACGCGAACCGCGGTCGACTACGTGGGAGTCCAGCGACATAGCCATTACGCTAACTGCTGGTTCCCTAAAAAAAATTTTTTTACCATAGTGTGCGTGCATTAGCAGGGATGGGGTGGGGGAAGACAGTGACAGAAAGACAAAGAAGGAAAGTGACAAAGCATCCCCCAGGAAAAATGGTCCTGCAGCAATCAATGTGCCTCCATTTCTCCCTTCTTAGGAATTTGGGGATGCATGCACACATGTTCGGGGCATTCTCAAGCCATGAAGTCTGGGACTTGAACTGTGAAGTAGGCCATGGGAAATCTATCCACCTTAGCCACTGCAACCATGAACTGGCCTATAATTGACTGTTGAGGTTCTGATAGTTACCAGCAGCTCATGGCCATGATTCCAAAATTATTCACATAAAATATTGACAGAATTCTGAGGTTAAACTGGTAGCATTTATTATAAAGTTTTAAGATACTGGGAATAAAAACATTCATTTTAGGGGTAAGGAAACTACTACTATAATCTACATTTAAAGAAGTTACCTATCGGGCAATAATTGAATATTATTTTAACAGTTTTTTCCCCCCAAACCTCCAGAGCTGGGATTTAAATTGTGCAGCTGGCCATGTGATTTAGCTCCTTTTTTATTTTTAAGAGGTTTTTTTCTGTTTGTTTGTTTTGTTTTGTTTTTGCTATAGGGCATGTGCACTTGCCAGAGAGAGAGGCAGAGAGACAGAAAATGCAATATCACCCTCCAGGGGGATGGCCCCATCCATCCTCCTCTTGGGATTTTGGGCACACATGCACACACGCCTGGCATGAGTTTTAGGCCACCGGGTCTGGGGTCACTACATGGGAATCCAGTGACATAACTATTATGCTGGGACCTGGCTCCTTTAACCCACAAGTCATGGAGCTAGCCTGAATTTTTTTATTTTATTATTTTTTTTTAATTTTGGAGAATTATCATGTCACTACTGTATATTCAACTGGCAAATTTTATTTAAAGAATCATACTGTTAATAAAATATGGAGTTAAATTATTTTTAAATTATCTGTGTTTTACAATAAGGAAAAATTAAGGACGGAAAACAGAAATGAGAGATACTATGAAAGTATTAGAAAAACCATAATCACAGAATAAATCTAAAAGCAAAACCTTTTGAATTTTGTTATACTGTTAATAAAGAAAGACAAAAAGATCTAGGAGCTAAGAATTTAACTAAATGCAGGTCAGCAAGTGTCATGGTGGTTAAGGCACTGGATCTCACATGGCTGACTCCATGGTTTAAGTACTAGACCCAGTGGCCCAAAAAACACACCAGGAACATACATGACCCTGAGTACCCAAAATCCCAAAAGAAGAATGAAGAGACTGTGGTGTGGTCACCTCCTAGGGTGGGTGATATCTCACTTTCCCACTCTGTCTCTCTCTGGGAAGCACGTGTACTCTAAGGCAAAAATCTAATTAAAAAAGAAAATGCAAGTTAGAAGTTCTTTATCTAGGGGCCATGGTGGCAAGAGGCACTGGACTCTCACATGGCCAACCATGGTTCAAGTCCTGGACCTGGTGGTTTGCTTTCTCACTTTCCATCTCTTTCACTCTCTCTCATTCTGTACCTCTCTGGTCAAATTAAAATAAACAAATAAAAATAAATAAAATATTCTTTAAAAATGAAGTTCATTATCTAAAATTTATAGTCAAAAAGAAAAAAAAATTTTTTTTAATTTGCCACAGGGTGCTTTGCACTTGCCAGAGACAGCAAGCAAGTGAGAAAGTGAGAAAGCACCTGTCAGGAGGGATGGTCCCACTGTAATCCTTTCTCCTCCATGCTCCTCTCAGGATTTTGGACACAGGTGCATATCCGCCCAGTGAGTTTTTCATGCTGCCAGGTCTGGGACTCAAATCACATCCTGCACCATGTAGGATCTAGCTGCCTTAACTGGGCGACCTGGCTGGTCAAGACATCTATTTACATTTTAACAGCATGAAATAAAAATACAAACACACAACAGCCAACCTACACAATGGAAATAAAACAGAAATTCTATCTAAGGGGGTCAGAAGCATTTACTTTAAATTGGGGATCAGCAGGTGGGGTGGTGGTTAAGACACTGGACACTCCCGCATGACTGACTTCGGTTCAAGTCCCACAACTGGTGGCTTGCTTTCTAGCTTTTCCTCCCTCTCTCTCTGGTCAAATTAAAATAAATGAATGAGGACCAGCAGTTGGCATAATGGCTATGTTGCTAGATTCCCATGTAGTCGACTGTGGTTCAAGTCTCGGACCCGGTGGCTTAAACTCACACCAGGTGCATGTGGGTGCATGCCCAAGATCCTGAGGGGAGAATGGAGAAGAAGGGATTGCAGTGTGGCCATTCCCTCAGGGGGTGATTTCTTGCTTTCTTTCTCTCCGTCTCTCTGTCTTTCTGGCAAGTGCACGTGCCCTATAGTAAAAACCTCCCCCCCACAAAAATAAATAAATAAATAAAATAAACAAATGAATAAATAAAACAAAATAATACTTTTTTCAAAAAAGGAGCATTTACTTTAAATCAAAGATGTTACTTTCAGTGGATATCCAAAATTTCAGTCCTTTAAGATGGAAATGATTCTTTTTGCACAATGGATCATAACAATGAATCACTGAAATCCTACTTAATAAAATGCAGAATGCAGGGAACAACAGGTGGTGTGGTGGTTAAGGCCCTGGACACTCCCACATGGTCAACCACGGTTTGAGTCCCAGATCTGGTGGCTTGCTTTCTCACTTTCCTTCTTTCTCTCTCTCTCTTTCTGTGTCTCTCTTTGGTCAAATTAAAATAAAATGAATGAATAAATAAAATTAAATAAATAATTATTAAAAAAAAAAACACAGAATGCAACAAAGAAAAGTTTCTATTAAGTCTCAAATCTTACTACCATACCATGCTTAATATTTAAACATTTTCTTGCATCTCATTCTTACACCAAAGTATGAATTAAAATGTCTTCATTAAATGCCTCTTCTTAAACAGATACTGTTTATTAGATTTTTAATTTGCCAGAGGGTATGTGCCCTACCAGACAAAGAGCAAAAATGAAAAAGAACTCCCCCAAAGGAGATGGTCACACTTCATCCCTTCTCCATTTCTCCCCTTTTGAGATTTGGAACACACGTGCACACGCACGCGCGCACACACACACACACACACACACACGCACCTGAAATTTTTTTCAAGCTTCCAGGGCCAGGACTCAAACCAAGTCGTTAGCTATGCAGGATCTTGCCACATTAACCACCATTCCACTGGTGGGCTTGCCATTTTTTCCCCCCATAAAGAATAACAGTTGAGTTTCCCCCCTCAGTGTTGTCATTAAAGGCCTTATCTGGTGTAAACCTGCAGCCAACTGTGAGGGCTAACAGCTATTCCAACATGGGGGGCAGTGTAAGGAGAGCAATCTTGATAGCAGGGAATGCCTGACTGGGCATTTCACAAATGTTCTTTCAGTAACCCTGAACTGAACTG